TACTCAATTCTGCCTCTCTAGCACAAAAGCAGCTATAAGCAATATGTAAATGAATTATTTATGGACACTGGGATTTTATTTCATAGGATTTTTACATGTTATGAAACGTTCTTCATATTATATAACACCAAGACCAACTGTTTGGATCCTGTACCAGCCAGCCATCAAAAAACTGAACAAAACCCCCCCCCAAAACAGCTTCTTCCTTATTTCATTTTCCCCCTAAACATTTAAAAATATAAAAACTATTCTTTTGGGGGGTAGGGGCAGTGGCAAGGTTGGGGATCGGACCCTTGGCCTTGGTGCTGTCAGCATCACACTAACCAACTGAGCTAACTAGCTGGCCTGGTAAAAGCCATTCTCAACCTGGGGTGTACATATCTCGGCCCAAAGGCTGAGTCTGCCTACCCCTGCTCGCTACTTCACACATCAGAAGTAGAACTACCTCGTCAGAGGACATTCATTTCCACCTTGACCAGATTCTATCAAGTTGCCTTCCAATGGGGGGGGTTATGATCTATATTCCCCCGAGAAACAAATGAGAGTTACTCCAGACCCTTTAGAAAGATGCCCTAAGCTCAGTACCAGGTGAAAACAGGGAATGTGAGGGGAAGTTGCCAGCCAGTTCTAACTATTAATACCTGGGAGAGCCTTTAGGAAGCTGGAAGAATGAATAACAGGGGTCTCTGGAGCCAGTGCCCTTGCTTCCAGGCTAGCTCAGCCCCTGTGTGTCACGGCCAGTGGTAACGAGTCCTTGCTCTCTATTTGGTATTTATTCTCCCTTGGGTGGGGCTGAAGTCTGGATTGAACCATTATCTGAGACATACAGCTAGGGGATAGGAAGGTGTGCACGCAGGAAGGTGTGTGCACAGGAAGGTGTGTGTGCAGTGGGAGCAGCAGGTCTTTGGGAAGCTGACATAACTGTGAATCCTGCCTGGCACTACCACCGACTGGTTCTGTGATCTTGGGCAAGACCCTTCACTTCTCTGAGAAGGCCTTCCCTTGTTTGTAACACACCAATTGGTTGAAAGGACAAAATGACAAAATCAAGACCATTGCTATGGTCTGAATGTTTGTCCCCTCCAAAGTTCATGTGGAAGCTTGATCCCAAATGTGGCAGTGTTGAGAGGTGGGGCCTTTGGGAGATGATTGGATGGTAAGGGCTGTGCCCTCATGAATGAATTAATCCATTCATGGGTTAATGGATTAATGGGTTATAGATGATAGGGTTGTCACAGGAGGGGCACCGGTGACTTTATAAGGAGAGCAAGTGAGCATGTTAATGCGTGCTCAGCCCTCTCACCATGTGATAGGCTGTGCTGCCTCCAGACTCCCCAGAGAGTTCCCACCAGGGAGAAGGCCCTCACCAGATGCACCCCTTTGACTTCTTTGAATTTCCCAGCTGCCCAAACTATAAGAAATAAATTTCATTTCTTTATAAATTACCCAGTTTCAGTTATTCTGTGACAAGCGACAGAAAATGGACTGACATGGTAAGGAAAGGTGCCTGAAAT